TTTTTTTTTTTTTTTTTTTTTATTTGAATGGTGGTACCTCTGGTCGTGATGCTGCTTTTACCATTCTTCTCACTCCTTTTTTTATTTTTTAATCCCATTGTTCCCTTTTTTTTTTTTTTTTTTTAAGGTTTTGGAAGATTGATAGTTCCAGTTCAGTTGATGGCTCCTAAACAGTGCGACCTCTCCTTTTTTTTCTTTTTTTTTGGCAGACTTCTGAAGTAGAATAATAATATTCCTTCTTGATGACAAACCCTTCATGCCACGTCATCCGTTCATTGCGGCCTAACGACTGCACGGACCGGTCAGTTCCAGAGCGCAGTAGATCCTTGAGGACAACAACAGGTAGGCTAAAATACTCCCAGTTGATGATTCTCACATAAAAGCATCACTTTTACGCTAAAAGGTTGACTAATCGAGGAACGATCTAACCAGGATGCTAAAGAAATATTTTTACTGCAAAGAATTGGTCCAAATTGGATCTATTACTTCTATCGAAACTTGATAAAACGATCCAGGATGACAGTTTTATCTTATGATTAAGTTCCCCTCCTTCATAGAAAAAAGTGCAGACCACGTCCTTAATGTGGTCTCCTACCAATATGCTCTCTTTGTTGGCCAGAGTAGATGCTACCGGTCTATTTAGGTGTTGCACCCGGTTCTTTAGATGCAGCCTCTCAACGTTGTCGCGAGTTATATAGCTCCACGTGGAGCCAATGTCTATGAAAGCACCGCACTTGCGATCACCTACACCAACTTTCACGACGAAGTGCTCCCCTCTAGGACCTTGACTTAGTGCCACCCAGGACTCGCGAGAGTCCCTTGCCGACCACTCACTTTGTAGGTCCTCTAAGGCCTCGGACACATCCAACGAACAAAGTATTGTTGGGTTAGGATGCATCTACGGGGTAACTAAGGAGTCAATAACTTCGGTTAGCTTTTTAAACGGGGAGGGTACATCACCACCTTCAACACGAGTAGAAGCAGCTACAAGAACTTATGTATTTCTCGAGTTGGAACTCGTAGAGGCACTACTCTGGGAAAAGGAATCCCACCTTTATGTGGTATCTTCTGCGAGACCTTCATGTTCTTGCATATTTGAACTTCCAATGACCATACTCGCCGCAATTAATGCAAGCACCCCGCGTGTAACAGTCCCGCTACAGATCTTGATCCAAACGCAGTCTAACCCAAGCCGCTATTTTGTTCGGGTTGGGGTTTGCCCCTGATTCCTCTCTGGATCGTCCTGGCCGCGACTACCTGCCTTAACCTTTACCACTACAGCGAGGTTGCTACCCTCAGCATCATCCTCGCTGTCTACATTTGTACAGTCCACAAGGTCTCAGAAGTCCTCGATCTCAATCTGAGTCTCATCGGCCTCAGCCATCATCAATCGACTCCCCTTCTTCCTCCATTCTTGTGGACTCTTATTCTTTCTTCCGCCCGTAAAGGGTGTTTGAACACCTCATGGCATAGCCTCTATATCTAAGGCCTTTTTGCTAAAGGTCTCAAACGTGTGATACTCTAGTTGAGCCTCGCTGGCAAGCAAGTTCTTGATGTCTGTGCTGTGAAACCGAGCGTTCATTGAACGTGGGTTTTCCATTCAGAAACTGAACGGAATGCACGCGCGTTCAATGAACGGGACCGAACGCGAAGTTCAATTCCGCGCGGGAAAAAAAAAAAAAAAAAAAAAAAAAAAAAGACCTCAACAAATTCCGAAAACAAAATATGTTATGGAGAAAAATAAAATAATCAACATTTGCCTGAGAATTAAATCTAAATTCGTTACGAAATTGGGAAGAAAAAATAAAAAACAGAAAATAGAAAAAAGTAAAAAAAAAATTGAAATTAGTGAGCGAATACGATTTGACACCGCCATCTTTGGCGATTTTTCATTTTTATGCCTTAGCAAAATGACTCCTAAATTGACAGGCATGTACCTCACATCATACAAAACTCATAAAAAAAAAATAGAAAAAAAAAGTTATTTTTAGGCATCGAAATAATTTTTGTTTTTTAATAAATAAATAAATAAATAATTAAACGCCGTTCAATGTTGGACGCGAATTTAAATCCGCGTTCAAACGCAAATTTGAACGCGAACGCGCGTTCACGGCGTTCAAACGGTTACAAAGTGTTTGTGGGAAGACACCTCAAGAACATGGTCAGCAAGACCTGTGGAATATATTGTATGTGAGGGACAACAATTAAACGGTTTACAATAGAGGTGAGTTCGCGCACAAACTTGTACTTTCTAGCATCGGGATTCAGCAACCCATAAGTGTCAATTCTGTGCCTGATGTGGGTTGTGCCATCGCACTTCCACCAAGTCCATAAAACTCTCTAGGGTATGGGTCTTAGCCGAGTCACCCATGTTCCTACTGAATCCCTTTGAAACCATTAATCCATTTAGCCAACGAGTTGTTGAACCCTGTAGGTAGGATACAACAATTATCATTTCTTCCTCTACTAGCGTCCTTTTCCCCCTTCCCCACATTGGAACCGTTCTCAACCCAGTGTCAACAGCCTCCTCCTTCTTATCGCCTTAAAAGGTGGTTTCATTGGGGTTTTGGGGTACCATGGTTGTTGTTGTCCCACTGATGAGACATGCGGCGGCTAAGGCGTAGCACCAGCCGCTAGACCCAAAGATGAAGAAGTAACAGTCTGAGATAAGGATGTTGTTGAAGTACTGCTTGGTGTGGTACCAGCTTGAGGGGATACGAGTCTGTCATCGCTGAGAATGGCAGCGATGGCAAAACTCCTGGTCGAAAACCTGGCCTATGCATGGCATTCAGGATCTGGTCTAGGGTGTCCTAAATAGCGTCTAGTCTACTATCCATGTATACGTGCATGGACATAAGACCTGCCTTGATAATATGTATGTTGTCATCAATGAGAGCGTCATCTAACCCTTCCACAACAACTTTGTCTGGCAATGTCTGCCGCCCTGCCCTCAAGTCTAGTAGTACTTCTATTTTTAATCACATTCTCTCTTTCGGTAGCCTTTTTAAGTTCCTTCTCTAACCTTAAGCGGATCCTCTCTAAGTGTTGGAGCTCCATCTGCTCCTTGGTGCGTGGAGGCGGCGAGCTGCTCTGCATGCCCGCCACCTGGCTAGATCTGGATCATGTCGTTTTACAGACGGACTGTCTGCCAGCGTCTGGTAATGTCTGACATTCCTAGTGAGAAACCAGACGAGGTTGCCATATATGATGCCGCAGATGTAGCCATTGATACTGCACTAGCCACTGCTGCTGCTAACTTTCTTTTTACAGTTGTTGCAGCTTCCCTCACAGTTTCAAGATTGTAGGCTTTGCTTCGTCCCTCCGCCTTCTCTCATCCCCCGGTAGTACGACTTGAAACACTACAGGTACTCAAAGCGTACCACACCAAGTCTGCCTTCTATCATCAGTTGTACTTTCACCACCCTCTGATCCACTCATCAACGAGGCGGACACTGTCTGCATTAGAGTCCACTCTGGAACCTAGCACAACATGCGTCCGACCGGTTCTAAAAATAAATAAATAAAAATAATATCCAACAAGTCACCTAGGCCACCGTTCAAGCGGTATCAACAACATTCACACAAATTATACAAATAACCTAAATATACTTTGATTAGTTCTCTTACAGCAGCTTCGAAAAAAAATGTTTATGGTAGAACACTACAGTTCTCGTCTAGGCTATCTGTGAGGCTATAGTTGTGTTTGCCAGTTGAGTCTCAATTGGAATCTTCCTCCATTGTATCCAACGTGTTTGTAGCCATCATCGAGCGACAGTGTCTAAGATGTGCATTGGCGGCCCACCCCTGTGCCCAAGGTGTATGCTTATGACCAGAACTGCCTGTTCTTTATCCTCGCGTGCAACGAGCCTTACGCCTGACTGATCTGGCTCATCAAGAGGCAGCTTAAGGACAGCCCCCACAGTCCTCAGGAATTATTTGACGTCACAATCAAGACGACGATCACAACTAGTGGACAGTCTGACCCTTGCCAAAAATATTTATAAACGGTTTGGGATAGTTTTTGCATCGGCCTTGTCAGTCCTCACACCCCTTCAATCAGCGCAGCAAAGAGCCTTAATGGACAAAGCAGCATGGCCTGCGTGTATTACTCCCATGGGTTGGCATGGTGACCGTGACCCGTGCTTCGACCAGGGCCCTTCAAAGGCAACGCCCTCTCCCGCCACATGCGCCACCGGGAAGAATGTCGTCTCTCGAGGTAGAGCGCTCATGACTCCTCACACGAAAGAGAGAAGACTCAATGTTGGACTCACTTCCTCACTATAAGAAGAGATTGAGAGGGTAGATAAGGTAAGGGAACAACGTACCTGGAGATAGCTGCCCCCAAACACAGATTTCTCACCAATTGAGCCAATGTGCATTTCGATGACCGGTCGTAGCTTCGGTGCCGCCCACAACGCGATGCAGTGCCACCTGAGCCAAAATGCCACATCAGCATGCTCTCATCATCAAACATACATTCGCTGTCGCCACAGCTCCCACGTTGTCGCCACAGCCTTTCAAAGGCGACCCCTCTACCTGGATCCCGTTCATCAAGCCAGCACCAAAGTATCCTTACTGCACAGAGGCATCGTCAGCGCACCAAGTAACAATGTTGCCAGTGCCAGGTAAGTGGCGATCTCAAACCAGCTCTGATTCCAAATTGCAAGGAATATTGAGTGAGAACGATATACAGAAAGCCAAGTTGCAAAATCACACAGATGTCCAAGTAGTCGTGTACAAGCAGAGAGCACAAATGGACCGAGATTCCATCCAAATAAGAGCAATACAATGAAGTCATGAGCCAATGTTCAAGCCCTCAGACCACACAAACACAGAATCCAATGTCGCTCCTCTCTGTCTGGCGCCCCAGCAACCAGCCTACACTACTTGCCTATCCTACCTACATTCGCATTCATGCAACAGGCTCACTTCGACTCTTGAAGACCAAATTATGTACACGACGTCAACACCATAGCCGACCTCTCTCATGTACCAGGTACGTATCTTGTCTCCCCTCATCAGACCCTGACCACTCACACTCGCCTCCTTCCTGAAGACCACAGATCGCCCTCCTACCCCCTAGCACCCTGCAGCCCGGCTATGGCTGCTAGCGCTCCGCTGCCCAGCAGCGCCCCTCTCACCTCTCATGCTTCCCTCTCACCTCTCATGCGCCCCTCAAGCGCCCTGGCCGCAACACAGCACACAGTTTCTAACGCAGCAGCGCAGCAGCGTGACCGCATTGCCTGTGTGGGCCAGTTGAGGGCCTGGGTCCTTTACAGTTGGGCCCGACCAATGCTTCCAGACTTGAGCTGTTTGCTGCATTTGCCCACGACTCGGGGTATGTACGTTGACAATCTGCTTTTCCGTAGGCCCCTAGCCAATTTGTGATTTATCTGCCTTGCATTGTGTGTGCGTGTGCCCAGGCGCAACTAACAAGGCCTGGTCCCATTTGTACAACGTAGCACTGGGAGGCTCACGCTTCCACGCAACCAACTGGCGTGCTGCAACTGCCTGAGTACCCACATATGGATAATGTCAAATTCTGGCCTCTGGTGAATATTCAGACCTGCCTTCCCTTAGGGCGGCCATGGGGCTTGCTGACGGCCTCAGCCCAGACCATGTGCATGTCTGATAAGGCCCTGCGAGGGCTCATTCCTCGCAAAAGTGGAGTTTCTACTTGCATAGCAAATTTCCGACAGGACTAAGGGTCTCGTTAGACATTCCTAAAAGAATCCTAAAATTTTTAGGACGAGTCCTAAATGATTTTTGGGATTTCGTGCGGCGTCGTTACACGCAATCCTAAAAATCATCTTTTAGGATTCGTCCTAAAAGGTCTCCCGCGACCGGTTTTCATATGCGTATACGCAGCCGCGTCGCCAATGTCCATCCATTCCTGCCAACGTCCGTCCAATCCCCGCCAACGGCTACCGTTCGTGGCTGATGTCCGACCACTGACCCGACGGACTGCTTCTGCACCAGCAACTCCGTGTCGACGGTGCCATGCGCACGACGCAACGAGTCCATGAAACGCGGGAACCCTAAATTTTTCAGTAGGGCGGGGGCTACTGGAAAATTTAGGACGATTTTGCCTGCGGAATCCTAAATCCTTTAGGACTCGCCCTAACGCTGTTTTCACATTTTCGATCTCAAAATTGGATTTAGGATTGCGTACAACCAAGAAGCAATCCTAAAAACAGGCACTTTTAGGAGTGTCTAACGAGACCCTAAAATTCAAAAACGCAGTTTGAAATGCATTTAGAAACTGCCGTAGTTAACCCCCTCCCCCCCCAAAAAAAAAAAAAAAAACTGAACGCTGCTAGTGGGACCTAGCCCCAGATATGAAACTGACCCGAACCTTTGTCTTTTTTTTTTCTTTTTTTTAATATCATTTTTTCCTTTGTTTAAGGACTGACCATTTCTGGATAAGGGCCTCCCCACACCACTCTCCAAATGTTAAACAGACAAAAATGTGGAGGGTGCATCTGGCCATCTAGCGGGATCATGTTCATTCTCATTTTGCACATTTCGAGAGAGGTGTGGCGGGTGCATCTGGCCATGTTGTAATGGGATGTTCATTCTCATTTTGCACGTTTCGAGAGAGGTGTGGGCCAGTGTAATCCTTGCCAAGGATTCAATGCATGCTGAGGTTCTCCGTACGATCATGGCTGCCGTTCGTTCTCCGTACTTTCCATGAAAATTTGGACAAATGGCTTTTGTTTTCACAATAGAATTTGCCTAGAGGATTCTTGCAAATCTGCTCCCGCCAGATGGCTGCAATGGTCACTCTGCGACATAACCCCAAGTTGCCCAACCCTTGTGTTGACTCACATTGTCTGGCACGCCCCCCAAGAGCATCCACCTCTTATCCCATGCAAAAACAGTATTTGTGATCTGATCCCATGTTTGTCTGATCCAATGCCAGACAGATCCTTGCAGAGGGGGCCCAGTCCCATCAGAGGTGCACCGTGGAACATTCAAATGTCCAACTGGATCTAGGACACGTCATATCCACTTTCACTTCATGTTCCGCCAATCAGACGGACGAGGGGGTTGCTGCCAATCACTCTACATACAGCTACAATGACGTTATGTTGCGTTCCGGGGGAAGAAGTAGGTAGAGACAGCAACCACAGTGTTGAAGCTACCCTAGTCTCTGAGAGGGAATGATCTTCAATCGGGCCCAGCACCACGTCAGAACCTAGCTCATCGAGCTGGATTGTCGTCCATCATCTGCAACCAATGGGATAGAGCAAGTACCTGAGGAATTTTGAATGGCATTGGCCGTGGCTCCGCTGCTCAACACTCTCTAATATGCATTTGGATGCCTTTTTGGACAACGTGCGTTTGGAGGAGTCCAGCATTTGGAATGCATGGGGATGGTTTTGAGCTCAGGATGCATATAGAGGGTTGTGGAGTGGAGCCAGGCCCATTGCCAGGTGGTAGCCTGTTCTCTGACAGGTAGTCCAGTGGCTCCTTATATTTCTTAAAATTAGGGCCTCGCCACACCAATGTCGAAAACTGATTTTTCGACATTTTCTCCTCGCCACACAGCATGTCGAAATCCGAGATGCAGAAAAAATCCAGGAGCTGTCAGGGAAAGGGGCTCGTTTCCACTTCAGTCCTGCAACTTGGAACAGTCCTCGGATGGGATGTCGAATTCTTGCCCGAACGTCGAAAAGAGAACGTCGAATTCTTGCCCGAATGTCGAAAAGAGAACGCACCAACGCTTGTCCTATCTTCACCTCAGTTTGTCTCTTTTGTGCATACTACTCGTGAGTTCTTCACTTGGACATGCGGTGTGGCCAAGAGGGGTTTTCTGTCCAAAGAGGTAATGTCCAAAATCTCCTGACATATGTCCAATTTCGTGATGTTTGGACATTGGTGTGGCCAGGCCCTTAGTGAACGAAAAGGAGTTCATATAGTTGACTTTATAGTAGTTTTATACAGACATCTATCTAAAATTTTTTTTTTTTTTTTTTTTTTTGAGGTCTCTCTAACCTATTATATGAAGCTTGTGATTTATTAGCTAAATTAAATGCAGCTAGTAATAAGAAATAATTTTTATAAGTAGGAACAAAATGGAGGCACATTTTTTTTTCCCCTTGTTTCCTTTTGCACACCATTCCCAGGGGCCTGGTCCCATTAGCAAAAAGGATTGGATTTAATTCCTGAATCTGGACGTGTTTGTGGAGAGATCCAGAAAGTTATGATTGATCTGGGTTTCTGCATCTCACCACTAAACGCATCCGGATTCCGGAATTAAATCCAATCCTCTTTGCTGGTGGGACCAGGCCCTAGCTTCTTGCATCCACATTCAGATTTGACATTGGTTTCCCGCCTCCCTTTTCGTCAAACAAAATACTAGGTAACCGTTATAATTGGAATGAACCCACGGGCCTAGCTCGAATCGGACACACCCATGATCTGTCGAAATACAGACCTCAGATGGAATCCCAATCAACTCAGACTAGTAGATAACTCTGAGTTGATTGGGATTCCAACTGGCCAGTTAATAGATGAGATCTGAAGGCCACCTCCCTTTCTTTATTTTTATTTTTTCCGCGGGGGGTAAGACTGGAGCCATACAGAGAAAGAAGATTAGCATGGCCCCTGTGCAAAGATGACACGCATAAAATCACCAGTACCTCACCCAGCTATCAAGTCTGAGGCTCCGACTACCAGTAGTCCGATCACTCCCGAGCCTCGGACTTTATTGCTGAGCCTCGGACAACGGGTAGTACATCACGGAAAAAAAATAAAAATGAAAAAAAGGCAAAAAACATACAACTTTCTGCAAAAAAAAAAAAAAACAGCCAAAATCACACATGCCCAAGGAGAATGAATCTTCCTCTATAAAGAGGAAGATCCATTCTCGTGAGAGGTTGAGGGAGAGAGAGAACCAAACTCGGCGTCAGACACTCGCTGACGCCCTCTCTCTCTCTCTCTCTCTCTCTCTCTCTCTCTCTCTCTCTCTCTCTCTCTCTCTCTCTCT